ATGGGAGTCCAGCGACATAGCCATTTTACCAACTGCTAGTCCCTGGGAAGTGATTTCTCACTTTGTCTTTCTTTCTCTCTCTGGTGAGTGAGCTCACCTTATATCAAAATTTAAAAAAACAAAAACAAAAACAAAAACAAACAAAAAAACAAAACAAAACAAAACAAAATACTGCAGAAGCACTAATAGTCCCATATTAAAAAATCCAAAGTAGGTAGTTCAGATCTGATATGGCTCTCTTTCTTTTTTTTTTTTTAAAAGAACTACTTTTTATTTTATTTATCATCATTATCATTATTTTTAATTTGACCAGAGAGAGAGAGGGAAAGTGAGAAAACAAGCTCCCAGGTGCAAGACTTGAACCATAGTTGACCATGTGGGAGTCCAGTGCCTTAACCACTATGCCACCTGCCAGCCCTGGTATGGCAGTTTTTACCTTTTATCTTTTTGATTAGCATATGGGCCTTCTCATACATATTTCCTCATGGCAGAAAGAGGCTACCTCTCCTCTAGGCCTGTGTCCAAGCCAGGCAGGCTGGGGTGGAATGGAAAAGGAACAAAAAGAGGGGCCAGCATGTGGAGTACTGGTTAAGGTGCTGGACTCCCACATGGCCTCCTGCAGTTCGAGCCTCGGACCTGGCAACTTGAAAATCACAGTGGGCGTGAGTGTGTGTGTGTGTGTGTGTGTGTTTGTCTCCAAAATCCCAGGAGAGGAATGGAGAAGGAACTGTGGCAGAATGGAGAAGGAACTGTGGCGTTGTCATCCCCCTAGGGGTTGATTTCTCACTTCCCTTTCCACTGTCTCTCTCTGGGGAGCAAAAGGAGCTTTCTCCTTTCACAAGAAGAGACAGCTTTTCTAGGAACTTCCATGTACATCTCTTTGGATATAAGTATTTATATGGCCACTCTCTTTTCTTTCTTTCTTTCTTTTTTTTTTTTTTTAGGCTTTTGCCATCAGGTGTGTGTGTGTGCTTGCCAGAGAGGGAGACAGAGAGAAAGTGACAAATCACCCTGCTGGAGGGATGGCCATGCCACAATCCCGTCTTTTGCATTCTTAAGATTTTGGGCACAGACACACATGCAACCACCCAAAGTAATTTTCAAGCCCCTAGGTCCAAGCCCTGAGCCATAGGCAACCATGTAGGAGTCTAGTACCTTAACCACCATGCCACCTGCTGTCCCCTCATATGGCCACTCTTACTTGCAGAAGAAGCTAAAGATTGATTTTTAGCTTTCAAGTCTCATTAGGAGGTCATGAGAAAGGGTTGTTAAATGAATCAGCCTATAGTTGCCATAACATGTATGTAAAAATAACAATAAGCTACAGACGTGTGGAGGGGACAGAGAAAGGGACAGAGAGAGAAAGTGAGAAAGCAAGCTTCCAGGTCCACGACTTGAACCACAGTTGGCCACGTGGGAGTCCAGTGCCCTTAACCACCACATCACCTGCCGACTCCCCCTTCGTTCTTCTGTGCCTTCTGTTGCCGACCCTGGGGTTAGTAAATGTCAGAGTAGTGTACATTGTACTTAAGCTTCCATTTATTGGATTATAATCCTATTTGGGACCAGCACTTAGTGTAATGGCTGTGTTGCTGGACTCCCTCCCATGTAGTCTACTGGGGTTCGAGGCCTGGACTCGGTGGCTTAAACTCACGCCAGGTGCGTGTGCGGGCGCACCCAAGATCCTAAGAGGAGAGTGGAGGAGAAGGGATTGCGGTGTGGCCATTCCCCCTGGGGGCTGATTTCTCGCTTTCTGTCGCTCTCTGACTGTCTTTCTGGCGAGCACACGCACCCTATAGCAAAAAT